GTCCAGTATTCTCTCATCTCTACAACTTGAATATTAATATTCCTGAAAAGGTGGTTATCCTTTTGCAGTTTGGTTTAATTTGTACTCAGATGGATGTATTTTACTGCCAAGTGAATTACTGCATTTCTCATATTCCATGCCCATGTGAGCATGGCATTGTCTCTTGAGAGAGGACTATAACATGTTTCTGAGCTAAAGTGCTGTACCAAATGCGCAGTAGCAAATGAGTGAATGCAAGATTTTCTAAAGTACTGAGGAGGCTGATGAAAGTGGCCATTTCCAAAGTAGCATTTGTTGTGGAATATCTTAGCCTTGAAAATCCACGATGAGACCTTTTTATTTTCAGGTCAAGCTAACTTGTATGTACAACATCAAAGGCAGTTCTGAGAATTCATAAAAGCCATTTGCAGTGACACATGTCCCTGAAAGGTTTTTAAATGTGGTCTGATTTTCAAAGTTGAAACACACAACTCATGAATTTAACTAAAAACTGACAAATTGGTTTAGAACATAACAATGTAAGATAAATGAATTCACATTTTATTTACTTTATGTACTGTATACTCTATAATTCATACTTGATATACTTGTACTACACAGATTCCCAAAAGTGATAGACAAGCTTCTACTGAAATAATTGGAAGAATCTCAAGGCAATAACATTTAGCTGATAATACTAAGTAAAGGTCTTGTAAATTGACCACTTTCTAATGTATCCTGAAAGAGAGTTTTGCCCTTGATTATGGGAATATTAAACTATTTTCATACATGTTATGGTCTTAAGATTTTTTGGCTCCTTTGTTTTTCATTAAGTATGGCTTGGGAAACATTTAGAGGTGTGTTGTGAGAGTCTAAAGCAGGTCAGCACTTGCAGGTTATTTAAAGGCTTGTACTTTGCTTTTTGAAACAGAAGGTCACAGCTTATGAGCTGTGCAGTACCTTATCTAGACACAATTAACCTACAGCTCATGAAAGTTAATTAAAGGCATACGTTAAACTTTTTGAAGATGGGTTCTTGTTTTTCAAGGGCAGTTTTCCTTTGCTAAGCAGTGTTGTATAAGCTATAAATAAGCATATTGAAAGTTGGTTTACTTTTTCCTTTCTTAACTGAATAAATTACGTTTTTCAAATCCGTCACTTTTGAGCTCTTTAGCATACACATAAATCCTCTTCTGTTTAGAGGGCAGGTTTTGACCGAGCAAAGCAATACTATGGAGAAGATATACATGTGGATCTTGACAAATTAGCTGCAAAATCACAAATTGCTCAATTAAGCTCACCTTTTAAATTGAGTAATCTTAGCAAAGGTTGCAGTGAAGGCAAAACCTGCTTTTCATCTTATTTTTGTACTCTTTCAAAATGCATGTCTCAAATAAAATTATGCAACACCTAATCAATATAGACTTACCGCAGTTTCATTGAGTTCCTGCTGCAGTGGCAGGCTGAATTATCTTTTATACAACTAGCCAACAAACCAGCTCCTCAAAATAATTCTCCGCCAGAGGAGGAGAGGTGAATTGACAGTGAATGGATTAAGTTAGCATCTGAAAAAAAATCATTTTATTTTTTTGGCGTTTCCGGGTTCATATTAACCAAAGTGCACTCAAGATAAGGTGCAGAGAGATGAAACCCTGAGTCTCATGACTGGGGGTATTTATGTCTCCCAGCATCAAGAAATTTGTCAGTTTGTCTCCCGTGCGGCAGATTAAAAATGGTGCAGGCTATTTTCCTATTATGAGCTGTAGAAACGTTTTTAAAAGTTTTTTTAAAGTGACAAGAAGAATGGACATAGTAAGAAAATAAGCACTTTCATAAGAACGTAAGAAAGGCTAGAAATAATAACAGGCCTCTTTAGCCTGTCTGGTAGTTAGTAACTAATTGATCTGAATGTCTCAGCCAGACATGATATCAGCTTCAACGTTATGACTGGGAAAATGTTTGCATACTTTGTGATTCACTGTTTATTCTGAAGAAATCCACTGGGTTGACAATGTTAAGGACTTTGAGTATTTTGAATACTAGGTCTCTCCAAAGTCTTCATAGTCTGTATGAGGGGTAAAACGTTTCAGTTCCTTATTGGTCTTTAATTGGTTCTGTTTTGATCGTTTTTTGGTTAGGCGCTACATCAACAATTCCCGAGTCCATGAGTACAACTGTTTTGAGTGATTATTGGAAGAGTTGTGTCAATAGGTTATGAATTTTGTTTCCTTAAGTACATTATGTACAGTAGGTTACATTAATCCTGATTTCTTCTAGTCTCTGAAATGCCTCTGCCTCTTTTATGTTAATAGCATTTGATAAAGGACTTCATTTTTGTTTGAAGATTTCAAAGAATCTTCCACTGCCTGAAACATGTTGAAATTTGTTATTTCCGTATACAATGTTGAATTACAATTCATATCTTCATTTGGTAGTCAGTAGCAGTGGTTCCCAACAGTTATCCTAGAGGATCACTTTTCAAAAGGGCTTTGTAATGGTATCAACCCTGTACCAATTTCTGAGCTTCAGAATTGCCCTCATTCAGGTATACCAGAAATATAAGCAACTAGGCCTTTGCAGAGGGAAAAATGCTCAATCTGATAGTGTCTAATACAGTGTCATCCCCACCTGTTTATGTCACACCACAAACTGATCAACTAATAAGAGCTGCTAAGTCAGAAAATAATATGAGGTGAGGCTGCTTGAAGTTTTGTATACTGAGTTTGTTGGAAATTGTACCCCTGAAGTAGGGTATTTCTGAGAGATCGAAGAAACAAGTTAAATAAAAGTCTTACCAAGCAAGCAGATTAATTAAGTCATCAGATGTAGAGCTCAGCTGGAATGAAAATGAGCAGACACTGGTCTTGCAGGACCAAGGCTGAAAACTACTGTACTATAGCATACTCCTAACACTATTCCTTTAAATGTGTTTTTTTTTGTGAAAGTTCAAGTTCAGGTTTATTGTCATTATATTATACTCATACACAGGTATATGGTACTGTATTACGAAATGCTATTTACAGTAGCTACTGTAGCTCTCAGACAGAGAGCAGTCTGTATCTGGGGTGTGTGGGGTCTTTGATGATGCTTAGAGCTTTCCTCAAGCACCTTCTGTGGAAACCATTGAATTCTCTTGCATATACAGTAGCTCTACTCTTCCTCTTCTGTCTATCCTCTGTCTGGAATAGTTTATCTACTAATGTTATGTTAACTCCATCGTTGAGCTCCTGAGCAAGGCCATTAACCCCAACTGCTTCAGGGGCACTGTACAATGGCAGAACCTGATGAGAGCAAACTGGGGTATGTGAAAAGAAAAATTGTATATAGCCAATAAAGTGATCTTATCTTATCTTATCGTTTTTATTTAGACAATTTTCTTTGATTACAATTCCATTACAATGACCTGCTAAAATGGTTGTTTCTATGTCTTATATTTTGTGTCTAATATTCCTATAAGCACTTAAAAAGTGCAAATTATTATTAATTTGGCAGACAGTATAAATATCTGGGAAATTTCCTGGAACAATCTGAGTGAAGCATCTTACCCAAGGGTACACCACTACAGCAGACGAGACCCTTCTGCTTATGAGCCCAGGCCCCATCACCACTGCTCTACACTGCTGCCTCCTAAGCCCCTCTGAAAAAAAATGTAACAGGAAACATAACACCACTAACAATGCTTGATCAAATATAGGACTATTTGTTTCCCTTTTTAAGGTTTGTGAAGCATATTCAGTCATACTGTATACAGAGTCCTTACTGGATTCAGTCCTCCTTTTAATATATGTATTGCCAGGGTCAAAACCATTCAATTAATCAGTTCTAACAACCAGTTGATCACTTTGGCCTTCACTCTGTGAGCCTCATAACAATGTTAATTATTTGACTATTACCACAACTAATCAATAGCAAATAGCGTTGATAGTGTATGATGAAGACAGCATGACCCTAGTTAATTAAGTTCACAGCAAGCTGCAGTGTTAGTCTCTTTATACTGCTTGTGCATTATTAAATACTTTTGAATCTTTTTCAGGGTAACAATCTTTTTTTTGCTCTTTAAGAAAAACATTAATGAATGTTATTATTCCAGTTTCATTGAATATGGTGTCTACTGAAATTAGGCTGTTCCAGTTATGTTAACAGGGATAATTCTTAATATATAATAAATACATGAATTGTAAGCAATCTTCTGAGCTCCTGATTTTATAGTTTAGATTTTTCAATACCCAGCTCAGTTTTGTGCAGGTGTTATTAAAAGTACATAACCTAAAATAGTTGCTCATAATTTGAGACCATAATTTGAAACACAAAATAATAGACAATAATAATAAGATATGGACATTTAAAACTTTTTACTTTGTCAGGAGTACATAAACATAGTGCACCATTTTTGTACAGAACAAGCAAAATATTTTGCTTGCAGGTTTAAAAAAAAAACATCCTTCTGGAATTCTCTGTTATGATTTTGGAAGTTGTTGTTGACAGAGGTTGAAATACCCCTAAGGTTGTTTAATCTGTTGAGGTAAATTTACTTGTCATTTCACATTTGTTTAAATTGTAGTTATAGTAGTGGACTCTTACAAAATTTCCAAGTTTTTATTAATTATATGCCGAGGACTTCGTACATAACTTGAAATAAAAAAAATATTCAATGGGTTTACCTTTGTTTTGATGACGAGGAGCTCCACTTGGTGAAAACCAATACTGGGCATTGAGGTGAAGGTTGTGAGGTCTTCAGTATTCCGGGAGGTAGCGATAAAGGAGAGGTCTGATTGGTTGATCAGTTAATGCGTCGGCATGTACAGGAATTGGATAAGACCGGAGCCTGATTAGGAAGAGTGCGGGTCATTTGTGAGAGTTTGTAGGTTTGGATTCTGGTTGTGAATGGTCTGACAGTAATTGAACCGCTTTTCTGTTTCTGGAATTTTTGGCACGTCTCTCACAGAAAAATGAAAAACAGTTCTCTTTTTTGAGTTGTGGTAAATAATGCAGTTCTGCGCCATTTTTTGTTTCCCTCCCAGGATGCTCTGCTGAGCCTTGGCTCCGTAATTGAAACCAGCTCCTTGAGAGAAGTCATCAAGGATGTACTGGAGGTGGTGCTCCCAAAAGTGGTAGGTATTCATTACCGTGGCAACAAATGGCCCCCAACTACACCTTTATGTTGAAAATATGAACATGACTTCTCTATTTGTTGAAGCAGTCATTTGTCTCTGTACATATAATCTGCTGTTCCTTCAGACCTTCTTTTTATCTTGATATGCCTGTTCACTTTGTTACTGTGACTGGTATGCTATACAAAACTATACTACGCTGCTGGAAAAAAAATACTACACAATAATAAAAGGACGATATATATTTCCCGAACTTTAATGTTCTAATAATGATGTTGGCAGATGAAGGACATTTTAAGGTAGCTAAAACAATTTTCTTTCAAGCATCTGTTAGAATACTAGTGGAACATAGTATAGCTTCTGAACAATTCATAAATTTTAACATCTGTTTATTTGGAAATATTTCACATGTATAGTAGTTAATTGAAAGCATGACCAGTGTTTTTAAAATCCAGCAATAACAATGGACATATTTTTGTCCAAAAACATGGACAAACAAAAATAGGAATCCAAATGGATAAGAGAGCTCGTCCTAAACTGCCTAGGATTTAAACAGCAGGTTTGTTTGTGTTTTTTTTATATTTTAACCAAGGAATCAAATTGTCACAAACTGTATGTGGTGGTTTCAAATCATGACGATTATCTCACATGTCCTGATAATGGACTTTCAATCCTTTACACAATGGGATGAATTTCTTAACTTATTCATTAAATAAAACAAAGAGATGTGGGTTTCATCAATTCAGCTGTCAAATTGATTAATTTGGAAAACTCCCTCATAAAACCATTTGAAAAAGCTAGAAACGTAAACCTGACATGCATGCAAAATACAGGCTATCAAACATGAAGGAATAAGCTGGAAATAAATAATGCTCAGTGCTATAGTAAAATTATAAGGGTTTGTTATAGCAAAGCTTACCCTCTGTGGGCACTGCTGGAAGCAAGCCCTTTTTTTAATGAGAAATGCACTCTGTTTTTGATGGAAAGTTTGTTTTGCCTTTCAGGACCGTAGCATTTAAACTGTTGGTCAGTCATGCATGACATCCATCCATTATCAGAAAAAGGATTATTCCTGGCGAGGGTCATGATAACCTGAAACCTATCCTGGGAAGCAAAGCGGAACTATACACAAGACACACATACAGTACACACATACAAAAGGGCAATTCAGAGGCAGCAATTAACCTGACCAGCATACTGTTGGAAAGTGGGAAGAATCTGGACCCACCAAAACCCTATGCAAGCACAGAGAGCACACGTGACAGACACGGTAATGCAAATTCAATTGATCGACACAAAATGGCTCTCTACAATATCAAAAAAGTTTTCTTTGATTATTATTCAGTCATCGGGATAAGTTCACTGGAGCTGAAAATCTAAGGAAAAAAAAACAGATTAATTCTGTAATGCAAAACCCTTTTACAAATACAATGTTTCAATGCCCGGTCTAATAAAACAAGGCTTATGCCACTTTAATCCAAGATGTTTTTGTGTTTGTAGTCCTGAGAGTTAATCAGACAGCAGCATAATGTTCCATTTTGTATGCTCACTGGCCTGGTACTTAATTTAGATTTAAATGTGGCCGTAACTGATAAAGCATTCATTATCAATTAGATCAGGGAGGTGAACAGTCTGAGAGACTGGCACTTAAGACTTTTTGAACAATCAAAATTCTCTTTCACATTCCTAAGATATTATTTTTTATCAAATTAAATGTCTAACACTTAGATTTTGCAGACAGACAGCTTGCCTACAATATACACTACTGACAGTTCCCACTTCAGTCCAGTTCAGAAAATGGCTCACTGATTTCATGGGAAGTGTATGACAGTTTCACTATGGTGATTTTAACTAGGGCTATGCTCTGGATGAATTTCTCTAAATGTCACATTCTGGAGATGTTTATTTAGAGATTAAATATATTTGAATTATATAAAACACGTCTTTACTTTGTGTTATAATATAAATATCCCCCTAATGTTATTAAAGGGCAATCTTTCATACCTGCATAAATTTAGACTTTTAATGAGTAATAATTCACTGTAGAAATATACCTTAAGTTCACTCATTTAGTAGCAATTTTTTTTATTTATTTAAGCAGACAGAGTGGTAACTCAATGTGCTTTCCAGTAACACTATAATGCTGTTTTTTTATTGCAATGATGACAGATACTTTGAATTTAAATTTCAGCAGTTTATCTTCCCAAATGGAGAGCAAGCTCCTGTTAAAAAAAATGAAAAGGAAAATGTATCTTCCAGCTGGAAAGAGCCTTTTTAGAAGCTATGGTAATGTTTATTCATATATATATTTTTGGAGGATATTTGTGGGCTTTGAGTACTGGAGAGGAAAAGAGGTCATGTTACTGCTCAGCACAAGCAGTCATTTGCTCATTTCCAAAACAATTGCACAGCAAGAGTGTTATAAACTTGTAGCCTGAGCTTGTCAGAGCTGACACACGAGGCAGACCTGTGTGCTGCACTCTTCCAACTACATCAGAATTTCCAAATCTAATGTCCTAGTAAGACGACAGGGTACATTGTGCAATAGAAAGTGGCATTCTTTGATGGTCCTGACTACTTGGTCATTAAAGATGCCATGGCACTGTGTGAACACAAGTGTTAACCCTGGTTTGCTGGCTGAAATTCTCTTTAACAATCTGGCCTTCCTAAAGCTCCCCTTAATTCAGTTAGTGAGGAACGTTCCCCTTTCTCTGTCTCTGCTGTGCAGAGAAGCTGAAGTGAAAAATGGCCACTACATGTGACACAAGTGGGTGCAGTAACCACTGTAGGGTGAATTGGATCGTCTCCTGTGAAAAGCACTTTGGGATAATTTGGGAAAAGTGCTGTATAATTCCTGTTATTAATTATTAAGTGAAATGAGAAAATGTCATACATTTTTTGAAATTATACACATATGTTCTAGTTTCAAGTCAAACCTCACAAACCTGTGCCAGATGAAAATGATTTATAATTGCCAACACATTGGTGCACCTTTCATTCGCTTCAGCATGTTGTCAACTTCTGACAGAACCACTGACAGATCAATCTATGGATAAATAGCAAGTGTGCTTTCCACACAGCATGGTGGCAGCACTGTAACCCTCCCAAGGAAATTTGAGTAGGGCGCTGTGTCAGCATGCAGAGGCTGCAAAGGAACAATTAAAGGTTCATTTAATGCTGAAAAGTAAAAAGAAACACTTTGTTTTTGCTGTGGAGCTTCCTTCACACACCTTCTTTTCTTTACCTTTCAGCATGAATTAAATGTTTACCTGTTACTTTGCATCCCAAAGAAATGGCACCTCACAAGATCATGTAAGTTTGTCTTTAGTCACAATTATTAAAATAGAGCCTACAACACTTACACAGCCATTTGCTGTCCCCTCATGATGACACCAAGTAATTAAAGTACTGTTCTGGGTAACAGTATTCCATCAATGTAGTGTGATGCTATGATACCTCTACTACACCTTTTTTCTGTTGACTGTACTGGGCATCTCCAAGAGATGGCAACACACCACATAAAAGAAGTCCTTCAATGCTCTCCTTCTGTAACACAAGTACTAATAAAACTGGTAAAATGAGCTGGAAAAACATATTGTAAATGGCAGTCAATTTAATGCATACACATACTGTATACTGATGCGCAATGAAAACAGCAACAGTCTAAGAATTACATCAATAGCTCTTTGGGTAGTGTTGATTATTTTAATACTATTGGTATTTTCTGGTAATATAAATGGAGCCTAAGTTATGTGATTTCATAAATTCACCAGGTATTGCAACACATGAGTTGTTATAATTGCAAAAATTAGTTTCCTGAGAAAATGTGTAAATGATCTAAGTGCAAGACGAGCAAAAGACACCTCAGCAACTGAGGTATAAATTCAATCTGAACTGTTTTGAATGTCTGATAAAGTGATAAAGCAACCACTTAATGGTAGGTTCTCTGATCTTTGTTAATTGTTCAGTAATCCCCAGCAAATTGCAGTTAGAGAATCTGCCATTCCCCATTTCTGCCACATGTGTATAGCCTCACCTATTCTATGTCCATAACTTCATCTTCCATAGCAGGCACTACATGTAATGTCATAATGCATACTGATACTCCTAGATTCATATCTCATATGATTTAATCTGAAGCCTTCCCTGCAGAGATGAAAAACAAGTGCATTGTACTGAGGAGCAGACATTTTATTATCTTATGTAAATTAAAACGAATAAAAAGCCACGTATCTAGTCATCACTGATGGCATCTAAAACACTGTGGAATGAGTTAGACAAAATGAAGTACTCCTGGGACTTGAGCTGAAGGGGCTGGTCAAAGTCGACTTGTGCTTCGTTCAGGTCAATTGAGTTGAAGCCTCTTAAATTCCACTGTCACATGTTATCTATATTCATATATTCAGATATTTTTTCTAGTGGGGAAGTGAGAAAGTACAGGTACCTATGTATATATTTGAAAGCTTATTCATTCCTAAAGAAACAAGCTACAGTATGTGAAATGTATATGCATTAGTATCGATCTATGGCAGCAAGGAAAAAGCTACATTGATCTTTTGTATTCCAAATAGTGTTTGCTCAACCTAACTCTTATCTTTCAATTGATGTCTTTTATCAAGACTCTGTAACCAATGCTTATTTTCTGTTTAACCATGTCCTTATAAAATACAATTAATCCAAGGATATGTCAACAAGTAAATTCAATTCATAAAACAAGTTACTCTTTTGCAACATTTGCATTCCAAGTGATTTCTTGACACTGTCCTAACAGAAGCATTTTGGTTACTATTTAAACTACAATTGCACCTCCTGTTGGACTTTGTGATGACTGGCAAACCTTTGTCCTTGGAGACCATTTTTTAATGGCACAAGGAGGTAAATCTCCAATGTAGTGATAATGTAGTTAGACATTCAAAGTCAGGGTCATTGCCTGTGCAGTGTCAGGTTGTAAGAACACAAGATGTTCCAAACAAGAGGAGGCTGCTTGGTCTGTTTCACTCTTTTTTTTTGCTACTGTAGTTACTGCGTGGTTCAAGGATTTCATCTATTGGTTTTTACCCAAACTGCCAGGGCAGCAGCTTCAACAACACGGCATGAAAACTTCTTTCAGACTCCCACATCCCTGTGTATAAAAAAGTGCCTCCCCAGTTCTAAATATTTTTGTTAGTTTCCCTTTTGTTAATGTTTCCCTGTTGGTTCTGAAGAAGGCTAATAAGTTTTAAAAAATAAATAATTTTGATTGCTTGAATTACTGTAGGTCCTTTTGTAGTCAACATTATTCAATATGAAACAGATTCAGTTCTTCAGTCTGTCAGAGCAGTACATCCTTTTAAACTCAGGAAATTATCAGGTAGCATTTCTTTGGATTGGCCCATTATCACGTTTGGTAGGTTGTAATGTTTTGTAATAAATTATGCTGCTTTCCTTGTTCATGTTTTTCCATGAAGTCTTTGGAGATGTCAGTAATGGGTCAAGAGAAACACATTACTGTGTCTATACATTATAGATAACTAATGATAACAGAAATAAAAACAAATTATAATAAATTACTACCTAATACTGTAATTCCTGAAGCACAGTGTTTCCCTTTATATATCTACAGTTTGTTTCACCAAACCAATGTGTACCCGTCTGCATTAAATGTCACCTACCAGGTGTTTGCTCAGTCTTAAAGTTTCTCTTGTTCTTTTTAGATTTCTTTTGCAGCTTCTATAGTGTTTGCACATCTTTATATTTTGGTGTGCTCTGTGAATTTGCCTAGTTTATTACTAAGTACACCAGAATTTAGATCAGTAATATACAGTAAAGGAAGAGCAGTGGTCTCAACACCACCAGTTCCCTAAATCTAAGTATTTAGCCCTTATCTGTATTTGTTTCTTGGGATGTAAAGAGAAAATCTGTTAGTCTTCCTTTCTGTTTGACTTAGACATAATTATAACAGTGTCTCCACACTGCATAAAATAAAAAGGATTGGTCCCTGAGAGTCCATAATTATTGTATGTGGCACTTTTCAACTCCACATCTCCCTATAGAACACAATGAAATACGAGTCTTGCAAAACAGGGAGACAATGCAAAGAATTAATGTGATTTTCAATTTCAAGTTTTGACTTACACTTGTAAGATAAATGGGTGTTATTTTTATTACAAGATACCCCATCCCAGTCTAAGAGATGTTTAAAGTAAATAAGAAGCTCCAACCGCAACAATGTTTTGATCAAACGCTCCAGAAACATTTCTTCTTTCTTTTTCACAGGAGAGTGTGTTTATCTATGTCTTGGATGTTGAAACCAACAGACTGCTTTGTGAAGACCCTCCCCATGAGTTGCCCCCCGAGGGAAAGCTCAGGTAGGTTTTAGACACACAGCGTTCACTTCTCAGACAGGTGTCTAAGAGCAAGTAACATTGATATTTTAGTGACAGAGAATATGACAGCCTCTTCTGAATATAAGCAAAAATAGCTCCTTGTATAAAAAATGAAACATTTGAAGAGAAAGGCAATTAAAGAATCCATTGAAAATTAATAAGAGTAGACAATGCCAACAATGGTGGTTATCATAATTGAGATTCAGCTGAAAACTACATAATTGCTTCTTGATTAGTCTCATTCATTTCTGTTTCAGTATCAAGGCAGGCACGACCTAGTATTTATCATGGTTGTATTAATTGTGGTTATAGAGCAGTTTGCCTTCCTATAAAAATTCTTTCTGGAATAGCCAGTAGTGTGTTGTTTTTCATCTTGGCTCAGAGCTACAACCCCCTGAATTGCACACAGGGAAGAATGAAAAAGTGTATACAGATGGCTCTGGTCCAGCTTCCTTTGAACTTTTCTTTTTACACACTGCAAACCACAGGCAACAAAGCCATTTAAGAAGAGGTTTGGTGTTGACTGGAGGAAAGCCAATCCTTCGCTGACAGCATTGCATGCCTGCAAGCAATCCAAGGGTCAAAGGGCTTATTGCGTCACTGAGACCTGAGTGAGCACTGGCCAACTAATACCACCCAAACCTCTGAAGCACTCAGCCAATTGGGCGACATGACTTGGGGAATCCCAGTCACAGTAGGCTAGTCACATGGCCCATGCCGTGACCCCTGGTTATACAGCTCAAACGATTCTCTGTCAAGCATCTTTATTGTTTGAGCCACTCAGAAGGCTGCCATATTTCAGTTTTTACAAGAGAACAGAAGCTATTCCAAGGCTATTTGACAGCGGTGAAACACAGGGAATGTTTGCAACTCTGCATTGCTTGCATTTTGCTTGGAAACTGTGGCTGTTTCAGAAGGCCACTCCAGAACCTCTGACCTCTCTGAATACCAAAAGCAGGTGCACTTTCCAAAGCGGTTAATAATGTGGTATGGAAGAAAAGGGAAGAGGGACTGATTAAAGCATTCCCTTTAATTGCTTGGCTGTCTTATTTCATTCTCTCAGTCTGAATGGCAGAGCTGTAAATCTTGATCGTCACATCTGTTCAATGAAAAGCTGTCACCAAATTAATAAACCGGAAAAGGTTTTATGAGTCACAGGGGTGCCACATTTTAACCTCAGCCTGCTGATGAGTCCCAGAGGCTCCCAAGAGACATGAGAGACTAATAAGCAGTGGAACATTTTATTTCCTCCTGTGAATGTTGATACTTCAGTTAAAATTCAAATGGCTATTGTTTAATGATTATAATAGGAGGTTCCTACGTCTTTTGATCTCCCTAAGCTCTTGTTTTATTTGTGACATCATTCTTGATATCTAATTGTTTGTAAATCAGTCATCAGTATCCTGACAAGAGCCTCTCTATTAAAATGGTGGTGATGTACAGTAGGTTCTATCTTAAAAAGGATTAAAACCACTCAATATATTCCTTTTAAACAGCTATTAGAACTAATTAAAAAAAACAGTTGTATTTATGTATTTTCAATTCATATTTTAGGCAAGCAGGATATATTGGCCAGAGATATACATTATAAACATTAATTTTATTGAGGGTTTATATACAGTGTCAAATTTCATTTTTAAATTCCTCTCTGCTCATTTGCTCGTTGGACACGTTTAGTCATAAACAGAACAGAATAACTTGCAAAGTTGTAGATTAAATCTTAGTTATTCAATTAACATATTAAAAGTCATTCTTTACCTCACCTTTCTGATTTTGTAGATGTGAGCTGGGACATGGCATTGATAGGTTTGCTGATCTCAGTTCTGTTCTTGATTCACTTCGGTTCAATGTTCCAATTAAACGTTTGAGCTCTAGCAGTCCCCTTTTTTTATAAATCTTGCCTGGAGAAACTCTCAAGCCATTTCTGGCAGTCTATTTTAAATAAGCAAAGTGTATTTTCAAAGGGTTGACAGTGCATTCATGTCATAATATTCTCCACTTGTGTATGACTTCTCCCCTTGTGTATGACTTTCCAGTATGGAAACTTGTTTGAAAAGGCAAAAGAGACATGAACATGGCATTTTAAAATAAAATCAAGAACCTCTGTGCAGCAGGTTCATCTTATTCTAACCATTGGATGTTTTATAAATTGTATTCCTATAACGTCTGCTCCCATTTCTCGTTCTGAGCCAGACTAGATCTTGACCTCTGCACAGAAATGTGTTCCTCCCACCAAATATTCTGTCAGTGTCTGGAAAAGGGGAAGCATGTGGGTGAGAAGATGTAAACTTCATCTGCTATTCCTGGCTCCCACATTTAAATTCTAGGGGCTACGGCAGGCTGTCAGATACCATAGATCATATAACTGACAAGAACTTATTGTCAAGTAAGGTCGCATGTTACAGACTTAGAAAGTATTTCTTATTTTTAGTATGGACACTTTCCACAACTCAGAAGAATACATCTTCAGGGACTAAGTCGTTATCTGAGATGAACTCCCAAAATGTATTGGGAATATTTATTGTCTGCAAAGTGCATAGGGTCTAGATTTAATGCTTCAGCCAAAGAGATAACATTCTAAATTCCCCTTATCACCACACAGGAGCATTGCTTGAGTTCTTTCCCCATAGGGTTCGGCAAAGAGAACCTCCATTTTGAAACCATCTGGCACCATACAGTTATATCTTACAGTATTAGAAAAATAATTGACTGTGCTGCAATCTTGACAAAAATCATTCCTGAAGACTCCTTCATGAATAATGAAATTGCCTGTAGCTGCAGTGTGCACTTTTTTGGGTCCTTCCCAGAAGTGTCACTGTGGAAGCAAAGGCTTTGTGAGTTTTGACAGCAACATCCATGCTTCTTTGTGGGGCACAGCACAAAATGTGTTTTTTTTCAGATGATTTGCCTTCAGAAAAGATTGGGCTAGATCACTTTTGAAAAACTGCTGCGTTATGATTGCATTTGCAGAATAAACTAAAACACCACTTATGTCGAATAAAACGGTCTGTGCTCACAGGCTCACACAGCCTGTAAATGCAGAAAATCTTCCGAATACAATTATAATCATGGAGGTACTTGGTCAGTCTTTGAGAAAATTCAAAGCCCTTTCTTTGTAGTTGAATGAAATAATGCTTATAGCTTTTTTAGATGTATAGTGTGCTTGGACATGTTATAATATGCTGTTATGGTTGGTCACTACAGAGACTGATGCTTTAGCAAGCAGCTGTCAAGCATAATGGTGGTTGATTGTAGGAACTCCTAAAACCGTGCAGGATTACATTCCGAGTTCCCCAAAACTGTAAATATGTACATTGAGATAGTTTTCCAGCCATATTTACTGTACAGCACTAAAAACAGGATGCCATTCTTCTTCTTCTTCTTTTTCACAGCCTTAGTCCCAGACTGTCCTGGGGTCAGCTGCTTTGGTTGCTCTTCTCCATTTAAAAAAACAGGATGCCATTAATGTAGTATATTATTCCCAGTGATTTTCTGCAAGGTTACAGAGAGATATTGGATCCAGAGTATGAGTTAAGTGTTTATGACACACCCTTAACAGCCGCATTAACCCAGAAGGTATTCATTGTATCGGCCTTCAATCTATTTAAATCAGAATATCACACTAATGATGATTATTATTATCATTTAAAAAGATCTGCTAAGGGATTATGAGAATTTTTATGAGACTGCATGCCTTATTCACAGAAATTAAACTTGTCATGACTCATTTAAGAAATATAAGTATTAAATACTATCAGATTAATTAAATGTACTGTCAATGATTTTATAGCTTAATAACGGTCTAGAGCTATTTTATTCTCCAGGCTCTTGAAATACACCTCTTAAAATAACTCATAGATTAAAGCCATTTGGAAAAGGCCTGTTGTTCACACTACTCTGTGATCTGATCTAAATAACCTGTGGTTATACAGTATATATAAAACAAAGTCTTCCAGTTTAAAGCACTAGTTTGAGTCGACCAAACATAGAGCTTATCATTCATCTTCAGTTTCAATAGCTTCTAGAAAGAGGTGCCTGCAGGGAAATTTACTTTCTTACATAGATTTGTGACCTTTAAATGTTATACATACATAATGACAAATGTAGTCCATCTACCTTATACTGTATTAAAAATACTAGTTTCTTGTAAAATCACTGCCACTGGATTCGCTGTGCTGCACTATAATTTTGGACCAATGACTTGACATATTCCATTCTGTATTTTTACTAATAATTATCATTAATAAAGAATGCACTTGTGGTGGAGAGAACATTAACGGGAACAAATGTTCTTGTATTTTTTTAGAAAAGCACAGCCTTCCTATAATGTGCATCCACAGTGCTTCCGTAGTTTTCCAATTTAAAAAAAAAAGATATGATTAACTATTGATGAGCTATAGAAAAAAAACTCTAAGTTTAGAAGTGATCTGGTGGTTCACATTCAGATATGAAGTTAAATTCAATCAAAACACGTTTCACACGAGTTAGTGTGTCTAAGTGTATTGTCATAAAGGTAAACAAAACTCTTTTAATGGATATTTCCTTTAGGAAACCTTGGTTAAGGTAATAATATTTAGATTTTGCCTTCCCATATTTCTGTCAGCGTGTGTAATGTTTCTGTTATTGTGTAACATAATAAGTTGCCCTAGTATATTCTATAACACTGTGTCAAACAATTCCTGAGCAGTCTGTTGGAAAGTGTGTGCCATTAATTGAATTTAGTATGGAAGATTAATGTAATAACATAATTTTCAAACTGATGTAAATAATTTACAGTTGCAGTATTGGTATTTGCAGTTGCATATGGAAAACCTATATGCCTTTACAGTATGTGAAAATACTGACTACAGCATAGTCCTTCTATTAAGTCTATAATGCATTTCCTGTTAGCTCCCTGGAATTTTGATCTTCTCTGAATTTATTTCATTTCAATGCATTTAAGCATTACCAATATTATCCCCCAAGATCTAATTTTCAGTGCT